TTTTCTTGAGTTAGTAGATTTTAAACTTGAAAACTCAGAAGACCTGGTGATGCCTAAGACCACAGTCCCACCTGGAGCCAATCAGCTGATGCTGAAGGGCGCCCTCTCCCATTCGCTGAGGTCCTTCTCAGACTCTGCTCATGCCTCTATCCCCCGCCATGCTCTCAGCCCAGTACCAAATAAAGCAGGTACAGGTACCAGAACCTGCTGCCACTCCCAAGACCCTAGGCACGTGTTACAGGTTCCAGGTCCTGGGACCTTGAGCACAGTGGGCATTTCCCAGGGAGATCCAACAGGATAACCCAGGTTATAGGACTTCAGCAGTGTTTAATAGCTGATTGTGAAAGAAAATATAAAGCATGTTATGCTATGAAAATCAGCATTATCCTGCTGTCTGATTGGGGCCAAAAATCTGATTGAAGTTAAGAGATAATTGACAGGACAAACTAATGCTAGCTAAATTTGAGAGGATGTTGGGGGGCGTGACCAAAAATATATTCCAGTTCTGCTACATACAAATATGCTTAGAGACGCAAAATCCAGTTATTTTGCATTTATGAGACTAAGCAAAAGGATGTTGAGAGTTATAAAGAGAGAGCAAAAAATAAATTTGAGTATTTGAACTGGCAGATGGATAGAATAATATGCAATTTTGTTCTATTGCTTTTTAAAAGAGATGTACTAAGAATTCTGTAATTCTATACAAGCTTGGAGATTTAAAAATCTACATCTAGAAAATGTGCTTTGTTATTCCTTCTTGATACTGCAGTATTAACAACTGCCTTAAACGACCCCAAGAACAAGATATTATCTTGTTTTATATGTGGAATTATATACTATAATTTTTTTATTTACCAGCAATTATTTTACTAATCAGGAAAGTAATAATTCTCTTTTTTTCAATTTATAATAGCAGTAATAGTCTTTATTAAATGCTTATGTTTGCAATATACCAAGACTGTACTCACAACCTATGTTACAAAATTGGGCCTGTTATTACTCTGGTTTTTTAAGTGTATGTCAATCTTTATGTTTATAACTATTTTTAATTTAATTTTTTTTTTGAGTCAAAGTTTCTTCTGTCACCCAGGCTGGAGTGCAGTGGCATGCTCACAGCCACCGCAACCTTGACCTGATGGGCTCAGGCGGACCTCCTGCCTCAACAGGTGTGCGCTACCATGCCTGGATTTTTTTTTTTTTTTTAATTTATTGAAGAGATGAGGTCTCACTACGTTGCCCAGGCTGGTCTCAAACCCATGGGCTCAGGCAGTCGGCTCACCTCCACCTCTCAAAGTGCTTGGATTACAGGCATGAGCCTTCGCACCCGGCTATTATTCCATTTTTACAGGAATGTGAACTGAGGTTTAATGGCCCAGGGTCACAGACTAAGTGGTCAAGAAGCCTTGTGGTCCAACTCAGGAGCCAGGATACTTGACAGCTATATTATCTTTTCTCATTTTTGGTAAATAGCATATAATGTAAACACATTCAATCAGAGTTTTAGACAAAATCGACTTTTAGTTTAAAGGCCAATTTGCAGGTTTGTTTAAAGGTGAACAAGAATGTGTGCTTTATCTTTCGTGTGCTTTATGTCATTGGAATCTTAATTTCAGGAGAGCTTCTGTGGAACATCTGTCATTGTACCAGAACTTGAAGGAGCTCTTTATTTGAAAGAAGATGGAAAGAAATCATGGAAAAGGCGCTATTTTCTTTTACGGGCTTCTGGAATTTATTATGTACCCAAAGGAAAGACTAAGGTCAGAAAAAACATCCCACTTTGGAGGCCAAGGCGGGAGGATCACTTGAGTTAGGAGTTTGGGATTAGCCTAGGCAACGTAGCAAGAACTCATCTCTACAAAAATTTTTTAAAAGTTAGCTGGGCATGGTGGTGCATGCCTGTATTTCCAGCTACTTGGAAGGCTAAGGTGGAAGAATCGACTGAGCCCAGGAGGTAGAGGCTGTGGTGAGCTGTGATCCTGTCACTGCACTGCAGCCTGAGTGACCAAGTGAGATCCCAACTCAAAAAAAAAAATTTGTTTCCCTTTACACAATGATATACAAATTAAGACATAATGTAAAAGATCCCATGTAGAGGAGGAACAAAAAAATGCAAAGTACCTAAAAAAACAAGAAATATTCAACACCTATATGGCATAAAATAAAGAATTTAACAAAAGGAGTGAAGTAGAACTGAATAAATAGAAATGTACCATGTTGCTAGATGAAAAAGATATTAATTCTTCCCACATTTTTCTATCAATTCAGTACAATCTCAATAAAAATTTCAATAGGATTTAGTCTAATAGTAAAATTAATCAGCAAAAAACACTGTTCCCCAAAAAAACACACACCCAAAAATACTAAGAACATTGAAGGCCAGGCTCAGTGGTTCATTCTGTAATCCCTGCACTTTGGGAGGCCGAGGCAAGTGGGTTGCCTGAGACTGCAGGTTCGAGACCAGCTCAGCCAAATTGGCAAGACCTCATCTCTACAATAAATTTTTTAAAAATTAGCCGGGCATGGTAGCATGCGCCTGTAGTTCCAGCTACTTGAAAGGCTGAGGCAGAAGGATCACCGGAACCCAGCAGGTCGACGCTGGGGTGGCCATGAGTGTGCCACAGCACTCCAACCTGGGCAACAGAGTGAGACTCCAACTCAAAAAAACAAAACAAAAAAGAACATTGAGGAAGAACTCCTTCCAGATGTCAAAACATTAGATAAAAACAGTACATCTGGAGGTAAACAGATCAACAGAGGGCCATTTAATATAACGGAAATTTAAGTTAGCACTTATGGTAGTGGGAAAAGAATGTGGTATTTGATGAACAGCATTAAAATAATTGTATGTTCATTTGGAAAAAATAGTTTCCTACCTTATGCCATGCACCAAATTGAATTCTTGCTAGATTAATATATCTTTAGGAAAAAAGAATATAAAATCTTAGAGGAAAATATAGGTTAATATTTTCATAATTCGGGAGTAGAGAAAGCATTCTTAAGCATCAATAAAAACCCAAAATTACAAAACAGATTTGACTGAATTTTGTTGTTTTTAATTCCTTTTGGCCAAAGATACCAAACAAGAAGTTAAAGACTAACTACAGAGTCAGGGAGTGCTTTGCAACATGTACAACCAAGTATGAATATTCATAAAATATAAAGACCAACACATCAATAAGAAAAAGATAAGTAAGAATTTACAGAAAAAAAAGTACTAGTAGTCGATGAATAATAAAAAGTTTTTCGATCTTACTAGTAATCAGGGAAATGTAAATTAAACAATGAGATAATTCCTCCATGAGATTGATGAAATACACAATCGGATAATATCCTAATTTTGGCAAGAGCAAGTAAGAAAAAGGGACACTATCATAATCAGAAGATTGGAATGTAAACTAGTACAGCTTTTAGGGGAACAATTTAGCAAGATCTATGCAAACATGAAAGGGAAAAATATATCCTTTCAAATGGCAGCTTCACATTTGGCAATACCAAAGAAATATTTGCTCACCTGCAAAGTAATACAAAAATATTAAAATAACCTCTAATCATCTATAGTAGAATAGCTAAATAGTTACACCAATATAATAGAATGTTGTATAGCCATCAAATGAATATCATATATCCATTCATGCATCCTGACATAGGAAGACCCCAAAGATGCTGTTAAGAAAAAGAACAAGTCATGGAACAATTTTTATAATAAAATCTAATTCATGTTTTTAAATTTTGCATGTAAAAGTGTGTATATATATGTGTGTAAGTAGGTCCTACACATACATTTGTTTATTAATGTTTACCCCAAAACATATGGAAGAATACAACCGAACTGTTAGCTATGGTACCCCTGGAGGAAAGAATGGAATAGGAAAAAGAAGTGGGGAGGAAAGATGTGCATTTTATCTATATATTTAACTGTGACAAATATGCATTATTTTTGTAATTTAAAAGATTTAAACTTTGAAAATCCAGAAGAAAATACTTTATAAGAAAAAAAAACCTACAACCATAAAAAAAAGAATAATTGTGCACTATGATGTAACAGTTCTTCCCTTTATTCTTTATTTACTAACTAGTTAAAGATTTATAGAATGTGAAAGGGAAAAAAGGAGTAATGGAACAAATTCGTAATTGAAGTGTAAACAAATATGTAGATTAGAGGTTGCAGTCATCACAACGCATATTATCTGTGGAGAAGTCTCTGTTTCCATGGCAACACCGCCTCCAGTAAAGAGGATTCATGAAAGAAATCCTTTTTCTCAGGAAGAAGAGCATGAAGTGTGTGCTAATTTACTGAGCATCAAGTTTGCCTTACATTGTTCATCCTGAGGGGATTTTTTTTTTTAAATGCTCAATCAAAAAATCCATCGCTGACTTAGAATGGCAAAAGCCAAAATGAAATTTCTGACTAGGTGGTCACCTTGTCTTGTCTTCGAACATGTCGAATAATGACATTTCAAGGTCAGACAGTTCTGACTCGGGGAGTCCCTGGGCAGGCACCAGAACCTATAATCTTTCACTTCCTTTCTGGGCCAGTGGTGCACTGTTTTGATTGCATTTTTTTTTCATTAATTTTATTTTTTAAAATTGACAAATAGTAATTGTACATATTCATGGGACACACAGTGATGTTTTGACACATATAATGTCTAGTGATCAGATCAAGGTAATTAGCATATCCATCATTTCAACATTTTTTATTTCTTTGTGCTGAGAGCATTCAGCATCTTTCACCTTTGCCTTCAAAAAACTACATTTGGTAGATGATTGTATAAATTACCTGAAATTCAAAATTTTCTCTATTAAAATGTAATCCTTAGTTGTGCCATCCAGAACAACCTTGGAAAATTATTAACTGTTATCTCATTTTAGGTTATTTTTTTCCATCTCTTTCAGACGTCTCGGGATCTAGCATGTTTTATACAGTTTGAAAATGTCAACATTTACTACGGGACTCAGTGTAAAATAAAATATAAAGCACCCACAGATTACTGCTTTGTTTTAAAGGTATGTTATAAGAAACCCTTAATTTCGATTTGTAAGCAATTTGAGTTAATATTTTTTAAGGGAACTGCAAGTGTAAAATTTTTTTAACTCCAGATTTTTTTTCACTGTAAGAAATTTTTAGAAATTAGAAACTTCTCAATATTTCTATAAAAAGATAGTAGCAAAAAAATCCTTTTAAAATAATTAGTGGGTTATGAGACTTTTAAGGTGTATATTGTCAAAAGGCAATGTGCATTGTTAGATGTTAATATGGTTACATTTTTTAAAAATTAGAATCTCACAGTAGTCAGATGACTAATTGGGTTATTACAACCACGCGTGTGATGTGTGTGTTTACAGAATTCCAGTTGAGGACTATGATAAGTTTTATGGTAAGTTTTTTTTAGTCAAATACAACAGGCCAAATCAATCATATGTAAAATATTGATTCCTTGCACAATTACTAGTACTTATTATAATCATTAAATAATAACTGGTTGAAATTATTGGCTTAACTGAGAACTCAAGATATGTGTTTTCATTCATTCTTGCTCTCCTTTTCATTACTGAGCATCCACTTTTAGTTATTTACAAATATATATTTTTTCAAGTCAAGGTCTCACTCTGTCACCCAGACTGGAGTGCAGCAACACAATAACAGCTCACCGCAGCTTCAACTTCCTGGGCTCAGGTGATCCTCCTGCGTCAGTTTCCTGAGTAGCTGGGATTATAGGCATGCACCACCATGCCCACCTAGTTTTACAAATGATATTAATAAAAATATCCACGATGCTAGCTCAGTCAACCTGACTCTTTGCCTATGCCTCTCAGCCAGGGCATTCTGCACCCTTGAAGGACTTTTGGCAGCGTCTAGAGACATTTGTGATTGTCATAACTGGGGGCACAGAGCAGACGCTATTGGCATCTAGTGAGCAGAGGCCAGATATGCTGCTAAATATTCAACAAAATGATTCCACACCAAAAAATTCTCTAGCCCCAAATATCAACGGTCCTGCTGTAGAGAAACATGTCCTATACAGATGCACCCCAGAATAATGGCTGTGAAGACACTGAAGAAAAGAAGAGGGCTGGGTTCATTCACTCGCTCATTCATTCATTTAATATTTGTTGAATGACGCCTATCTGCTAGGCACACAATAACCCCTGTCCTTCTGGATTTTGCATTCAATGTGAGGGTCATGGCAATAAACAAACAAAAAAACATGTAAAAAAAAAAAGCATGTAATGTGAAGTCAGGTAATAATAAGACCATGGATCATGAGAGGGAACGGAACATGCCAGGGCTGGGACCAGGGAGTCTTTGGATGAGGTGGTCAGAGAAGGGCTCTCCAAGGGAGTGACATTTGGCAAAAGATGTGAATGAAGTGAAGGAGTAAGAGTTACCTGGGAGAAGAACCTTCCAGAAACAAGAACAGTAAGTGCAAAGGCCCTAGGATAGGCAGTCAGAAGGAAGAGGGAGGTGAGGAGAAGGCCCTGCCTGCTTTTGGTCCTTATACTTCCTTGTCTGTTCCTGATAGGGAAGATAACAAGAGTAATAAAAAATATTTATGTAGCATTTTGTTTTTAAATGTGGTATGTGTGCACGGAGTCTCTGCAGCCAGTAAGTGGCCAAGCCAGGATGAGAACCCAGGCAAGGTGGCGCAGGGGCTGTTCTCCCAGACACTGGTTGTGAGGCTGCCATAGAGCTGCACAACATGTGTGTCCTACCACGCTTCCCATGATGCCACCCGCCCCAGAGCTATGTCTTCACTAGATTCTTGTCTGACCCCATGGCCCTTTGGAATCCTAAGAACCTGAGGGGAGGTCCTGATTTCCACAAGGGCGTTGTCCACACTTCTTAGATAGGCAGAAGGAGGTTTTGGAGAGAGCTTCTGAAATGCTTGTCAGTAAACTGACTGAATCAGAGTCACTGGAGGCTTATTAAAAATGCAGATTCCCAGGTCCTAGACCCACTGAATCAAAATGTTTAAGGTTGGGACCCAGGAATCTTTATTTTTCCTAAGCACTCAGAGAGATAGAATGTATCACCAATCTAAACATCAGTTTTCAGGACTGAGCTGTGATGAAATGGTTAGACAGACTGAAAGTCTAGCAGAAGGGAGCAAACCCCAGGGCTGGGACCCAAAGGCAGGATCAAGGATGTCTGTCAAGAGAAAGACAAGGTCTCAGACTAGCAGTTCCCAGGATGGGTATTTAGATATCGCAAACAGCACAGGGACTCATTTTCTGACGCACAAATTTGGGACTCAGCCCTGAATCATGGCAGGTGTTGAACTATCTGCACCAAGAGCAGCAATGCTGAGTCCTGGGATATTAAGTTAGAACTTCTAAAATCTCTCCTGTCCAAGGCCTATGTCTTCAGGAGAGTGTTGAGGGCCTCCCCAAAGAGGAGAGAGAGCTCAGAGGGGGTACAACCAGCAGGGCCGATGGATCCGGGAACAAGATTCACGAGCAGAATGTGCATCTCTTTTTCCCAGGATGGTGGTCTGTTCTGTTCTAAAGCCAACTTCCTTATGTGCAGTCTCCCTGCACTTTTTGTTCTTAAGCATGCTTCTCAGTTCCTTCCCAAAATATTGGGAATTTTTATTAATTTGCTGAGTTAAAGGATCTGTCATGGCTTGGAGAAACTAATTTGTTTATGAACATTTTGGTCATTTATTTCCCTTTCTGTCCACTATTTTTTTTTAAAAAACTCTTATTATTCAAATATTTAATTAGGATGAGCCAATTTCCAAAATGCAGAGTATGTGTGCATAGATTGCAAGAGGGATTCAGAATTTCAGGAGACATTTGAAGAGATTGTGTGATTCTGTGGACATGCACTGTCTACATGCAGGCCAGAATTTCTTACTCAATATGAGATTAATGATTATGATAGTTTATGGGTGGTGCTGTCAGAAATATCAGAGTTTGCGTCCTGGCCTTGTCACCTACTAACTGGATCACTAGTGATACACACTAAGCCTCATTGCCTCATTTTCAAAGTGGTGATATAGACAGAGTACCCAACCCTTCTTGTGAAGATTAAATAAGACATGCCCCTAAAATCTACAGTGTCTAAAAAGATGTCAGCATTCAGTAAGTGGTGGTTATTACTACTGCATTCTAATATTATTAGCCAGTAGTTCTCAAACTTTAGCATGCATCAGAATCACTTAGGGGATTGTTAAGACACAGATTGCTAGGCCCCCAGAGTTTCAGATTTGATAAGTCTGGGATCAGGCCCAGGAATTTGCTTTTCTTTCTTTCCTATTTATTTTTTTTTTATTGACACAGTAATTATACATATTTATAAAGTATAGTGTGAGGTTTTGATATATTTCTACATTGTATAATAATCAACTCATGCTACTTAGCATATCCATCACTTTAAACATCATTTCATTTCTTTGATCATTTATTTGTTGTGAGAACATTCAAAATCGTCTCCTCTCGCTATTTGGAATATACAATGCATTATTATTAGCTACAGTCACCTTCCTGTGCAATAGAGTATCAGAACTCATTCCTCCTACCTAGTTGTACCCGTTGATCAAGTACCCCATCTTCCCCTCCCCCCATTTCTCCCCAGTCTCTAGTAGTCACTATGCTACTCTCAACTTCTATAAGAGTCATTTTTTGGAGGGGAGGGGATTCCACATATAAGTGAGATCATGCAATATCTGTTCTTCTGTGCCTAGCCTATTTCATTTAACATAATGTCTTCTGGGCTCATCCGTGTTATAGCAAGTAACGAAATTTCCTGATTTTTTAAGACCGAATAGTATTACATCGTGTACATATACCACATTTTCTTTATTATTTCATCCATTGACAGGCATTTAGGTTGACTCCATATATTAGCTATCCTGGGAGTAGGGCTGCAAAAACACAGGAGTGCAGGTGTCTCTTTAACATACTGATTTCAGCAGGGCTCAGTGGCTCAGCCTGTAATCCCGCGCCTTTGGGAGGCTGAGGTGAGTGGATTGCCTGAGCCCGCGGGTTCGAGACCCGCCTAGGCAACTTGGCGAGACCTCATCTCTACAATAAATAAAAAATTAGCCGGACGTGGTAACGTGCACCTGTAGTTCCAGCTACTTGGAAGGTTGAGGCGGAAGGATCACCAGAGCCCAGCAGGCGAGACTGCGGTGGCCGGGAGCGGCCACTGCACTCCAGTATGGGCGACAGAGTGAGACTCCAACTCAAAAAAAAAAAAAAATACTGATTTCAATTGCTTTGGATATATTCCCGTCAGTGAGATTGCTGGATCATATGGCAAATCTACTTTTAATTTTTTGAGAAACCACCATGCTGTTTTCCATAATGACTATACCAGTTTACATTTCCACTAACAGTGTATAGGATTTCCCTTTCCTCCATACCTGTGTCAGCATTTTTTTCTGCCTTTCTCGTAATAGTCATTCTAACTGGGATGATGTGCCATCTCATTGTGGTTTTGATTTGCATTTCCCTGATGGTTAGTGATATTGAAATTGTTTTACATTCCTGTTGGATATTTTATTGTGTATCTTCTTTGAAGAAATGTCTATTCTTGTACTTTGCCCATTTTTAAATCAAATTATTGTTTTATTTTTTGCTATTGGGTTCCCTATAAATTATAGTTATTTAATCCTTTGTCATATGTACAATTTGCAATTATTTTTTCCCATTCTGTGGGTTTTCTCTTTGCTCTGTTTCCTATTTCCTTTGCTGTGCAGAGTCAGAGTTTTTGTTCTTACAATAAGTCTTTAATCCATTTTGAGTGGATATTTGCTTATAGTGAAAGACAGAGGTCAAGTTTCATTCTTTTACATATGCATATCTAATTCTCCGAGAACCATTTATTAAAGAGACTATCTTTTCCTTGTTGTGTTTTTTTGGCGGGGGGTAGCCTTGTTGAAAATCAGCTAGTTGTAAATGTGTAAATTTGTTTCTGTGCTCTCTAATTTAGTTCCTTGGTCTATGTATCTGTTTTTATGCCAATATCATGCTGTGTTGGTTCCTACAGATTTGTAGTCTAT